CTATGCAGAGCAGGCCTCTGCCAGGCAGCCACCTGGGGCAGTTACCTGAGGATCGATGTAACCTAGCCTCAGCCAGCTTCCTGGAGGTGAGGAGTGCTGTGGCACAGGGAGCGCCGCGTGCTGAGGAGCCGCAAAGGACAGGTCAGTCCACAGCTGAAACTGGCTGCCGACAAATGGGCCCCACACCATTGCACCCAGCTGCTTTCTCTTGCTTTTAAAACTAGAGCCAGTGCTAGCCAAAAATGCCTGAGAATAAGCAGCACCCTTCTCACCCCTCCCCTGTAATCACCACAAGAAGATGTATGCGCTTCCCTCATCACAGTGGCAGCCACCTCGGGAAAGATTGAGACCCCTATTCATATTTTCCATGGGGCACAAAAGTCTCCCCGGGGGGGGGGGGGCTAAGGGCATAGCTGAGTCAGCCCAACGCTGCCAAATAAACCCTTTCCCTTCCCAACTTGCTTTTGGTTATGGTCTTTCATCATAACAATGGGAACCCTAGGATAAATTGGGCAAGAATCACCAGGTATTGCTGGGACAGACCTGATCATATTTTTTTGGAGGACTGTGGAAGGACTTGGGAACTTTAGGCTAGAAAAACCAGTATGTGTTCAAAGCGTGGTGAGCTGTTCTGTGGGAGCTCTGAAGATTAGAATATTGAAAGCAGACAGTGGAGGCCTGACTTGTCAAGCTCCAGAGGGAAGTTTGAAAGTCACTCAAAGACTTACCAGGGCCCATTTGCTATTTTGAGTTGAGAATCTGTGGTCAGCTGGGGCTGAAGAACCAGCTGTGATTAACAAGCGACCAGAACCGCGAAAGTAAAACTTTTGCTTTACTGCGGCAATTGATGCAGCTCAGTTGAAACTTAGAAATTAGTGGTGGTTGAGAGAAGACCAGCATCGCTGAAGTCAAATCTTCTGGGAAGTGTTTCCTCAGCATCAGCACATAGAAGCTGTGTTCCATAGGTAGCCAAGATTGTACGGCCCGCTGATAGCCAAACTTGGTAATGTGTAAGAGTCACCCATTGGTACTGGTTTTGAAGGCATGCAGGTGTCAGAGAGAGTAGTTGAGGTTTGGCACTGTGAGAGAGGACAGTATAGGCCATTGAAGAAGGTGATGCCTCAGTAGCAACCGAGATGCCAGCACTTTGGAGATGACAGTTCCATGGGAACACCACTACGGAGAGCAGTGGAGAGTGGGTGGGGCCTGCCAAAGTCTAGAAGACAAGTTGTGGGTGCTACAGAGGGCAGAGGCAGAGAAATGGCCCAAGCCCTTTGGAGAACCCCAGAAGACTGTGAGTGAATCCCAGACACCGGACACTGAGTTATTTATATTGCTGGGAGTTTGGTTTTGCTTCACTCAGATTGTGACTGTGCCCTGGTTTTTCCCTCTTAAAGTTGGAAAGAAAGTATTTTATTTTCACAGGAGCACACAGTTGAGATACTGAACTTTTTAAAACAGATTTTGAATTTTTAAAGAGGCTGTACATCTTAAAGAGACTGAATTTTAGATGTGTTTGAATTTATAAAGACTGGGACTTTTAAAGTTATTTATGTTTCATATTGTGATATTAATATTAACATGCTATCTTGGAGACAGATGGGAAAAAAAGAAAGGTTCTAATTGAAAAGTGATGTGTTTGAGTGTCAAGGTGACAAGGGGTCAGTTGTGCTGGGTGGTTTTATGTCAACTTGACACAAACTGTAGTCCTCGGGGAGGGAGGTGCTTTAACTGAGAAGATGCCTCCCAAACAGGCTGCAGGCAAACCTATAATGCATTTTCTTTTTTTTTTTTGTTTGTTTTTGTTTTTTTTTTGTTGTTGTTGTTGTTTTTACGAGACAGGGCATCTCTGTATTGTTTTAGAAGCTGTCGGTCCAGCCCGGCCTCGAACTCATAGAGATCCGCCTACCTCTGCCTCCCGAGTGCTGGGATTAAAGGCGTGCGCCACGACTGCCCGGCTATAATGCATTTTCTTAATTAGTGATTGATGGGGGAGTGCCCAGCCCATTGTGGGTGGGGTCACACCTGTGCTGACGATTCTGGGTTCTATTAGAGAGCAGGCTGAGCAAGCCATGGGGAGCAAGCCAGTGAGCAGCACCCTCCATGGCTTCTGCATCAGCTCCTGCCCTGCTTGAGTTCCTGCATGAACTTCCCTTGATGGTGAAGTATCGTGTGAAACTATGACTGAAACAAATCCTTTCCTCTCCAGTTTGCTTTTGGTCATGGTGTTTCATCACAGCAACACTAATCCTAACCAAGACATCAGCGCCCACACGGCAACTCACAACTGACTATAACTTCAGTTCCAGGGGTCCAACACCTTCTTCTGACCCACTTGGGCACTGCATGTGCACGGTGCACATTCATAGGCTCAGAAAAACAAGCACACATATAAAATAAGCAAACCTCTTTAAAAATTAACTAAGTGGTCACTCATACAAGTTTGTGGGAATATCTACCCAGTATGGAATTAGGAAAGTATACCAAAAGCTCTAAAATGTTTACATTCTGTAACAACTAATCCATTTCTGGGGATTTAGTAAAAGGAAAGAACCAATGATGCATAAAATTACTGATAATTAAAAAGTTTATACTACAGCCACGTAAAGGACATGGGCCACTGGTCTCATTTTAGAGAAATACGGTTTGGTGGAATGGAAAAGTGCTTGTCTAAATTAAACGTTATAAAATAATACACACATCATGACTGCAATTTCATTCTCTATACATAAATACATGCATATACAATCTAAACCTGCTATGGCTATTTCATGCTCTTCATTACCTTCCAAATTTCCTATGGTAATCACACAACACTATTTCTGTTCCCAGTCCAGTGTGGTTTATGCACCAGAGGAATGACATCTGAGATTGACCTCTCGCCTCCACATGTATGTACAAACCTGTACACAAACACACACACACACACACACAGAGGCACACATATACAAAACTACAGTCAACCAGAAAACTTGCAATCTGATGAGGTAAAAGAAATGCAAATAAATTAAAACAATAGTGTGATGATGCTACAACAGCCAAACACACCAAGCTGAGGAGCCTGAGAGGGCCATTACTGTTCACACACAGATACGGCAACTCACCACTCCCTCAGCCACGCCAGGCACATTTCTCAGTGCAGAGGACCGACGGCACAGTGCAGAACTGGACACTTGCTTCTGGCTTATCAGTACAGCTATTTCCTACCTGCCCCTCACACAGAGAAGAGAGAAGAGCACAGTCCCTCTGACCTCCACTCCTGTGCAGTGGTGCATATGCACACACCAAGCATCTTTAAAGAACGGTGTCATCTCATTTTTTTTATTTAATAAAATCTTATTTTTCCTAATGTACAGCTGACTGAACCTGTTTATGCATCTCCACCCTTTGTGTTTCTGGTGTAAATTACTTGGACTCTGTGCTTCAAAACCAGCTTGATTAAGTCCTTTACTAAGTAGCCCCTGAAGGGCTGCCCTGACCAAGGAACCTCAAATCTTCAGTCTGGCAGAGACCACAGCTGGAGAAACAAGCTTATAACTGGGCACTTCCTTACAGAGTTTGTCGTATTATAGCTTTGTGAAACAGGACTAGATTGCCGAACTTTGCCTTTGGACCACTTCTTTTTGGCCTTGCCACCAGACTTATTTACTGGGTCTTTGTCCTTCTTGGCTGACTTTCCCACATCTTTCTTCTTCTTGTCATCCTTAGACGGCATGATGAAGCTCAGAGAGTGTCGATGACCACTCCACCTCATTCTTCATAATTAAGTGTGTCAGAGGCTGGAGAGATGACTCAGTGGTTTAGGACACTGGCTCCTCTTGCAGAGTGCCTGGATTCCATTCTTAGCACCCATGTGGTGACTCACTATTGTTCAGAACTCCAGTTTCAGGGGATCTGTCACCCTCATTGGGACTCTGTAAGCACTCAGCATGCCCATGGTGCACACACAGACAAAACATCCATAGAGCTCAAGCACAAGTTATTGGGAGGGGGGTTATAAACACTATGTGTACACTAAATTACCTATTTTAAACAAATGGTGCTGCCCCAAGTTGGGGTTGGGGTAAGGGGCTCTTACTCTCTAAACATGGAAGCTAATTCTGTTATTGTTCCTAGGAGGCCTAAAACAATAGCTTTAGCAGTTGATACAAAAATCTATATTATCAATCTTCTACTTTGCATTTCCTCCTGGATTTTTTTTAATGTATCTCACTATCTAGCCAGGTATGGTTTAGAACTTCCTATGACACTTTGCTCTCTTCAGAAAGAGAGTGTGTGGAAAAATGGCAGGAACCTCCAACAACACAAGACAAAACACATTCAACAAAGAACCATAACCAGTAGATTTTAAAAGGCAAGATGATCTGAATGGCTGGTGATGACTTTCTAGGTAATACACTATGGACATTAGGAAAGGGAAGTGGAGTCTACAAGTGGGAAAGGGGGGTCAGGAACTCCTCAGAGGTTACTAGAATCACAATCATTCCACTGATTGTGTTTTAGACATGCTCAGGCCACACAAGGAGAAAGCTATTCCTGCTCTGGCTGGTGCAATAACTACTTGCTTTGCTAGATCTTCATGGCTATAATAACATACCTACATATCTTATTTGTCTCCCCAAATACCTGTGAACAAACCAAAGTAAATTAGAAAGAAAAGGAAAAGCATGGACATGTGACCAAGGAGAGGAGGGCAGCATCTCCCAGAGTCTAGTTGAAGCCTCCTGCCTCTTGCCAGTTGAAGATCAAGGACTCCAAAACACTTTCCAAATATATTTCTATTTAGTGTGTGGGGGAGGCTGTAGGTAGGTCAGAAGACAACTTTTGCAAGTTGGTTCTCTGCTTTCATTGTGGGTACCAGGGATAAACTAAGGTTATCAGGCTTGTACAGCAAACACTTTTTACCTGTCATCTAGCCAGTCCTACACATGTCTTTTAATAAATTCTAACTCTGCTTCATACTGGCTCATCCTGAAATTCTTCCCTTCTAAGACACATACCTGAGGACTCCAAGTCAGAACACAGAGAGCTGTCCATCTGAGCTCCGTCTGCACTACCCACAACAGCACAGCTGTCCGTCAACAGATGAATGGACAAAGGAACACAGTGTATGTGAGCAGCAGAACTTCATTCAGCTGTAAATGAGAATGACAAATTTGCAGGAAAATGGATGGAGATGGAAGTCACGTCATGCAAATTAAGTTAAGACTCAGAAAGACAGTGTGTTTTCTCTCATATCAGGAACCTAGGATAAAAGTATACATGCATGTCTATGTGCGTAGGGCATGAAAACTGAATAGAGCACATGAAGAGGACAGGACAGGGGTACTGAAGGGAGGGGGAAGAAGACAAGAAAGGGTAATGGGATCTATGTGACATCAAACCAGAAACAAAAAGGACTATTTGAACAGGACCAGCAAGAAAAGGAGAGCTAGAGGACAGGGTGGAAAATGAACAGTAACAATGGGTAAGGATATATGTGCACAAAAAAAATGCTCTACTTTATTACTAACTTAAAATGATAAAAAAAGAAGAGATAAAACAAAGAGAAAAACGTTACCTTTAATGTGAAAAACAGAGGTAGTCTGGAATGAAATTATGAGGAGAAATTATAAGAAGTGTGACACACACAGGACTGTAAGAACCTACTGTGAAGAGTTATGACCTAACAAATTAGATAATCACAGGAAATGAATAAATCCCCTAGAAACTCAATCTGTAAGACTAAATCATGAGAAAACAAAACAAAACACACAGAAAATCTAAGCAGACAAGTAAAAGTAAAGAGATTGAACCAGTAAGCAAAAGTTTCCCTAGTACTAGAAGGCTTTCCTGATAATTATCAAGCATTTAAAGAAGAGTTAACACCCATCCTCCTCACAATATTCAAAAAGATGAAGAAGAAAGAACAATTCCAAACTCATTTCCAAAGACCAGAATTGTCCTATGCAAAAGCAAGACAAGAACAACTGAAGAAAAGAAAATTAAGGCCAATACACAGGGATGGAGATATGGCTCTCAGGTCACAAGCACGAGTTGCTCTTGCAGAGGATCTGGGTTCTGTTCCCAGGATCCATATGGTGACTTACAACTGTAATCCCAGCTCCACAAGGGATCCAGTACCCTCTTCTGGCCTCCACAGACACTGCAGGTACATGGTACACATACATACAGGCAAACAGACACTCACACACATAAAATAAAAATAAATTTTAAAAACTACTACCAAACAGAATTCAGTACTGCATCAAAAGGATTATATACTGGGAAGAAGTGGACCCTGGGTTCAACATCATCAAACCTATGAATGAAGCTCAGCTTATCTAGGATGAAAAACAAGTTATGTGGTAATACTGACGCATGCAGGAAAGGCCACTTACCAGATCAACATCTTTTCATAACGAAAAGTGGATAGACTGGGTATAGAAGGAATGAGCGCCGACACAATGAAGGCCATATGTCATAGGGTTACGGTGAGCATCACACCCAACAAAGAGAAATAAAAGCTTTCCTCTAAGACCAGGGACACGGCAAAGATGGTCAATCTCAACGCCTGTATTCAACAATTTGAGGAGAGAAAGAATCTAAAGGTATGTATTTACAAGAAGTAAAAAAAAAATCCCTCTTCTTGCAGATGGCATACCTTTACACAGGGAAAACTGACTCTCAAAGCCTCCTGGAACTAAGAACTGACTCTGTGAAGCTGCAGGGCATGGAGCCAACGGCCAAACCTGCAGCATTTCTGTACATGAATAAGATCAGGTCACAAGAGAGTTTCAAATTTTCATTTAAATACATGAAAAAAAAAAGTAAGGCTTTAAATGAATTTAACCTAGGTGGTCAGAGGTCACCACATTGAATATGGTCCAGTACTGATGATGGACACTAAAGAAGAGATAGAATAAGTCATCCATAATACTATTAAAATGCCCATGCTTCACAAGGCAGTCTGCAGTTTCAGGACAATTGCTTATCAAAATTTCATGGACACTTTCCACGAAAACATTTTCACAAGAAAATTATTTCAGAAAAAGTAAACAATCATAAGGTTCATATGTAACCAAAGACCTCACAGAATCAAACCAATCTCATATAGTCCAGCCTGACCATGAACCCCTGACTGTCCTGCTTCTGCCTTCCAAGGGCTGACCTTTTCTCAGACTAGCTATATAAATGTGATCCTTTCTTGCTAATCGGAGCACAGAGGAGAACAACAGTCCCCAGTCACTCATGCTACCTGAGGAAAAAACTCACACTCCAGTGTGCTTTGCTGTCAGGCTATGCTGTCCAAGTAGGCCTTAAACACAATTTCAACTTTCAGTCATATCTTAATATTGTAATAGGCTTAAAGGATAATAATCCCATCACAAGTTAAAATCAGCTGTATCTAAGAGATACAATGTTCGGTATTGGATGGTTAGGTTGAACACGGTTTCAGAAATGAACAGCGTGAAGTTAAAGGTGTTGCTTGGGTTCCTGATTAAGAAACCAGGGGCCCACAGAGGAAACAGGGGAAGAAACACACCTGGGTAGAAAGACACCTTGAGACATGGTTAAGTGCCAGACACTGTGGAATCCAAGGGAAAAAATCCAATTGAGCAGTGGGCTATCCAGGTAGAGATGCAGCTGAATTAAAAATATAACGTATAATTAAGAAATGTAAGTTAGTAGTCATCTATAATAATCAAACTTATGTTTTCAAGGTTAAGTCTAGGTTTGCTTAGCTCAGATATATTTAATAGAAAATGGTCCTCAATACTTCGTCAGAGATCTGAAAATATGGCATTTAAAATGTTTAATAAAAAAGCTACTGTAGCAGAGTCTCCTAGATCCCAGCAGTGACCCCAGGGTCTCCAAAGATGACACAGTACAACGATGTCTCTCCCTGGATTGTGGCAATGCTATCGACTGAGCAATACTTCCCTGGATTGTGGCAATGCTACCGACTGAGCAATACTTCCCCTGGATTGTGGCAATGCTACCGACTGAGCAACACTTCCCCTGGATAACTGTGCACAAGCAGGACACTCAACAATTGATTGCCCCACCTTGCCCAGACTAAGTAAGGTCAGTCTCTCCCATGTTCTACGTCCACAGGAAAGTTCTCGCCTTCTGGGCCTCGCAGCTGAAGACTGACGCTGTCCTGGTACCTCTGTCCCCAATACCATGGAGACCACAAGAGCCTGCGATGGCCCTTTAGGTAATGGAATAGTCTCTGCCATTGTAATTGATGCATAGGCCATTTGGATGATACTTCATGCTATAATTCATCCTCCTCAGATCTCTGATGCTATTGACAGCTGTGTTTTAGCAGCAGCAAACAACCAGGTTCTTCCCCCAAGGCTGTAGCCACCTTGTTAGCTCATTTTCATATGTAAATATCAAGCCTTGCTTTTTCTAGATTCACTAGATACCCTGTTGAGAAAAGGTAGACAGGTTTGCTTTGCTAACAGGCATAGTATTAAAAGATAAACAGGTTTCAGATGTAACTTTCCACTAAAGGAACATGATTTGTAATGAATGTTCTCAGTAATAACTGCTTATGTTTCTGTTAAATGATTATGGGGAAAGAAAAAGGGCTAAAGTCTATGTAAATTTGAGGGTCTAAGAAAATGTTATAAGATATACAAAAGGTCTGAGGCTATGAGAGTCTATGTAAGTTCTGAGAGTCTATGATATATAAAGGTCTGAGGATGTGAGAGTCTATGAAAGTTCTGAGAGTCTATGATATATAAAGGTCTGAGGATGTGAGAGTCTATGTAAGTTCTGAGAGTCTATGATATATAAAGGTCTGAGGATGTGAGAGTCTATGTAAGTTCTGAGAGTCTATGATATATAAAGGTCTGAGGATGTGAGAGTCTATGTAAATTCTGAGAATCTATGATATATAAAGGTCTGAGAATGTGAGAGTCTATGTAAGTTCTGAGAGTCTATGATATATAAAGGTCTGAGGATGTGAGAGTCTATGTAAGTTCTGAGTGTCTATAATACATAAAGGTCTGAGGATGTGAGAGTCTATGTAAGTTCTGAGAGTCTATGGTATATAAAGGTCTGAGGATGTGAGAGTCTATGATATATAAAGGTCTGAGGATGTGAGAGTCTATGAAAGTTCTGAGAGTCTATGATATATAAAGGTCTGAGGATGTGAGAGTCTATGTAAGTTCTGAGAGTCTATGATATATAAAGGTCTGAGGATGTGAGAGTCTATGTAAGTTCTGAGAGTCTATGATATATAAAGGTCTGAGGATGTGAGAGTCTATGTAAATTCTGAGAGTCTATGATATATAAAGGTCTGAGGATGTGAGAGTCTATGTAAGTTCTGAGAGTCTATAATATATAAAGGTCTGAGGATGTGAGAGTCTATGTAAGTTCTGAGTGTCTATAATACATAAAGGTCTGAGGATGTGAGAGTCTATGTAAGTTCTGAGAGTCTATGGTATATAAAGGTCTGAGGATGTGAGAGTCTATGATATATAAAGGTCTGAGGATGTGAGAGTCTATGAAAGTTCTGAGAGTCTATGATATATAAAGGTCTGAGGATGTGAGAGTCTATGTAAGTTCTGAGAGTCTATGATATATAAAGGTCTGAGGATGTGAGAGTCTATGTAAGTTCTGAGAGTCTATGATATATAAAGGTCTGAGGATGTGAGAGTCTATGTAAGTTCTGAGTGTCTATAATACATAAAGGTCTGAGGATGTGAGAGTCTATGTAAGTTCTGAGAGTCTATGATATATAAAGGTCTGAGGATGTGAGAGTCTATGATATATAAAGGTCTGAGGATGTGAGAGTCTATGTAAGTTCTGAGAGTCTATGATATATAAAGGTCTGAGGATGTGAGAGTCTATGTAAGTTCTGAGAGTCTATGGTATATAAAGGTCTGAGGATGTGAAAGTCTATGAAAGTTCTGAGAGTCTATGATATATAAAGGTCTGAGGATGTGAAAGCTTAAGCAAGTTCCTGAGGTCTCAGAAAGTGATTTAAGGTGTAAATATAAGTTGTAAAGGTATAAATTAGTGATTTAAGGTATGGGAAATGTTTCATATTTCTTTCCCCTTGCACTAAGATTTCAGAAGTTCAGAGTTTAATGTCAATAGAGTTCTCATAAGCTGGTAGAGCACTGGCTACTTACTGTTC